CCAAGTTTGAAACAGAATTCCATGTTTGTGCACTGCTGCATTTTATTTGTAATGTCACTGCACTACACCTTATTTCCACAATGCATACACAGAATTTGCACATCTGAACAACCTAACAGCCTTTCAAACAATGAAAAACTTAACAAAACCTGACTGTTAATCAGTAGTACCAACTATACCATATAACAGCAATTCATTCACTGTATTTATTGATCACAGGAGGTACATCTAACAATTAATTTGTGTTAGCTTTTTCAAAAAAAAACTTTTTTGATGTGTTTATTAACAGACTTCGTTAAATAAAACAATGTAATGTAAACCTGCATACTTCTGTAGCCAATCAGAAAGAGGCACAACAACATCTGTCCTGTTATGTCACAACTTCTGTCTCACCTCACAGCCTCTGTTTGGCCAGTGCCGTTGGAGTACAGAGATCGCTACACAATGCTCCTGGTACAAATCTTATTCCGTGTGTATAATAAAATATATTTATATATTGAATGCTGTTTCATTCAATTATGGAATCAGATCAACTAATATACCACCTTCAATAGCAACCACCCCTCAATGGCGACTTTCGGACGAAAACTCCTTTACAGTAACGGATATTTCTGGTTTTGATTCTTCCCGCTGGCGCGTGTTCCACCTGAAAAATGGCCGAATCTGAAACTTCTGCTGTGGTGATTCCACCTTTTATTCAAGTTGATCCATCTCTTTGGTTTCACATGTTGGAATCTACTTTTGAACTAGCTGCTCCCAAACCGATAACAGGGCAAAAGACAAAATTCAACTACTTCATAGCTCACTTGCCAGCTAATATTGCAACTGTTGTTTGTGATGTCATCATTCAGCCTGATAAAGTCAACCCATAAGGTGGAATGAAGTCAAAAGTTATAGAAAGATGTTCGGAATCCAAGACTCAAGAGATTCGTCGGATGCTAGCTGGTGAAAGCCTCGGAGATAGAAAACCTAGCAAACTTCCCCACATCCTGAAACATTGTGCAGAAAATCACAACAACGATTCATTCAAGATGATTCACTTTTATTTTAACTCTTTAATCAAGTGATACCTGTTCCTGTTCAAACTATTTTAGCTTCCATCTCTCCTATTACTTCAGATAAAGCTGTGGAGGTAGATGATCGAATTTTAGCTATCAACAACACCAATATATCCGCCATCGTCTCTAACAACGAATCTTCTTCAGCTCAACTCCGTGAACAAATCAAAGCTCTTCGAAAAAAAGTGTCCGAACTTCGTCGTTCCAGAAGTTCATCTCCTACTAGTTTTGCTGGCCGCAAACATTCCAAATCGCATAACAAAAATTTGTGTTGGTATCATCGGAAATTTAGGGATAGTGCAAAAAAAAATGTGTTTCTCCGTGTTCCTATATGGGAAATTTGAAAACAGAGTAGAGGCGACCGACTCTTCCCATCCTCATAAATCGCATCGCCTTTTCATTAGTGACCGATCAACAGGTAGGTGTTTTCTAGTGATGCCAGTTTAATTGTTGCAAATATATATGAACTGCAAGCACCAGTACTTCAAACTTTTCATGCTGCTAATGGTTCACCCATTAATGTTTATGATCACAAAACAATAACTGTTAATTTTGGTTTAAGACACAATTTTACTTTCTCTTTTTATATTTGCAATGTTACATGCTCAATCATAGGTGCAGATTTTTTATATTAATTTAACTTATCTCCTGATTTACGTAACAAGCGTCTAATTGATTTAACAACAAATTTTAAAGTACCTACCAAATTAAATACTTGTAATATTTTTTCTGTAAAATCTTCTTGTGTTGATAATGTATTTGGTAAAATATTGTTACAATATCCTGATATTACTAAATTACCAGATCCCAATCAACCTGTGAAGCACAATACTGTGTATTATATAAATACTAAAGGTCCTCCAGTTGCTGCTGAACCTAGACGGTTAGCTTCTGACTGCCTCAAAATCGCAAAAGCTGAATTTCAGCGCATGATTCAATTGGGTCATATGAGACCTTCAAAAAGCCTCTATTCATCGGCCTCGCACATGGTGTCAAAGAAAGGGTCTGTTGAGTGGAAACCTGTTGGCGACTATCTATCTCTTAATGCACAGACAGTTAAAGAAAAATATCCTATTCCTTGCATAGCTGATTTTACCTCAGAATTGTATGGTAAACAAATGTTCAGTCACAATCTCGTAAAAGCGTATCACCAAATTCCCATAAATCCAGATGATGTACATAAAACAGCTATATGTACTCCTTTTGGTTTGTTTGAAAGTTTGAGAATGCAGTTTGGTCTTTGTAATGCTTCCTCAACCTTTCAACAATTTATCGATGAAGTCACTAGAGATTTGCCTTTTGTTTATGCATTTATTGATGATATACTTGTAGCTTCTAATAATGAAGAAGAACACTTATATTTACAACATTTAAACCTGCTATTTTCTTAACCTCAGGAATATGGTTTATGTATAAATGTAGAAAAATGCAAATCTGGTCAAACTACCATAGATTTCCTAGGATTTAAGTTATCTGGTAAAGAAATTGAACCCCTCCCTGATCGTGTTAAATGCATCCTATATTTTCCTCAGCCCGAGTCTCACACAATTACGCGATTCTTAGGTTTATTTAATTTTTATAGACATTGTATTCCCAAAGCTGCTCATATTCTAGCACCCTTAGTCAAATTCCTTGAAGGCCACACAAATAAAGAGACATCCTCGTTCCACAACTTCTACTGAGCAATTACAATGGGATGATGAAACAACACTCGCCTTCAAAGCATCTAAGGAAGCTATCGCTAAAGCATGCCTGCTACGGCATCCCATGTCCGGTGCACAGTCTATGGGTCGATGCGTCTGATGTAGCACTTGGCAGCCCGCTCATGCAAATTGTTAAACAACAATGGGAACCTATAGTTTTCTATGCAGCTAAACTAAGTAAATCTCAAAGGAAATGGTCCACTTATGACCGTGAACTCTATGCTATGTATTCTTCATTAAAAAAATTCAGGCACATGCTTAAAGGGAGAAATTTTATCATTTATACCGATTAAAAACCACTTAAATTTAGATTCAAACAATATCCTGATAGATGCAGTCCTCGGCAGTTATGACATTTGGATTTTACTTTATCTCCCAGTTTACTACTCATACTGAATAAACTAAAGGCTCTGATAACATTGTCGCCGATGCACTTTCCCGAATTGAGATAGATGATATTTCCTGTACTGTGATCGATTTTCAAAAATTCGCTGCTGCACAATCAAACGATGAAGAACTTCAACAACTCTTAGCATCAAATACATCCTCTCTAAAATTAGAGAAACATTATTTTCCTCTCGAGGATATTAATCTGTATTGTGACAAGTCACAAAAACTTCTCCATCCTTTTGTTCCCCAGTTTATGAGATTAACAGTTTTCAAAACTTTACATTTTTCCTCTCATCCAGGTATCTCAGCCTCCATCGATTTCATCGCTAAACTTTTTGGATGGCCAGGCATGAGAAAAAAAATAAAATCTTTTGTGCGGAGCTGTGGTCAGTGTCAATGAGCTAAAATCTTAAAACACACCAAATCTTCTATCGGCACACTTGCTGAACCTGATGCTCATTTTGCACATATAGATTTTATAGGCTCTCCATCTGACGGAAAACAGTTTTGCATGACTATCATAGACCGGTTCACAAGATGGCCGGAAGTTATTCCAACAATATGACTGCAGAAACAGCTGCTCGTGCTTTAGTACATGGCTGGATATCAAGATTTGGATGCCCAGTTACAATTACATGTGACCAGGGTAAAAATTTTGAATCTAATCTTTTTAGAGAACTTACCTGCACACTTGGGTGTAACAGGATTCGAACCTCTGCATACCACTTATAGTCAAATGGAATTATCAAACGCTTCCATCAGCATCTCAAAACAACCCTTAAAGCACATAATACCGCACAATGGACTGAAACTCTTTCACTTGTCCTCTTAGGCATACGCTCAGCTAATACGGATGATGTCAAAGCAACTTCTGTTCAACTTGTCTATGGCACAACATTAAGATTACCTTCCGATGTAGTAACGAGTGATGCCATAAACCAGACCTTAAATTCTGCATATGTAAACAGTTTACTTCAATTAATGAGATCTTTAAATCCTATTTCTACTGCCCTACATGGTAGTCCTAAAATTTTCCTCAACCCCTCATTAAAAACTCGTTCTCACATATTTTTAAGATCTGATAAAGTTAATCTTCTGACACCACCTTATACTGGACCTTATTTAGTCTTTGACAGAAATGATAAGAATTTTATTATTGATGTAAATGGCAAACGTACTACAGTTTCAAATGACCGCGTAAAACCTGCTTACCTCCTGCCAGATGACATTACTCATACCTCATCTTTACCTCCAGTTTCAGTTCCATCCCCACTATGCTTTAATAAAACATCTACCACTAAATGTGGGCATAAAGTCCGATTTTCAAAGCATTTAGTCACAGACTACATTCCTTGAGTAGAAACCTGTACTATAACATTTTGTATTATGCATATGTTACTACTGTATCTATACCACGTACAGTATATTTTTATTATAGTGTACTTCATATTCTATATTGCACTATACATCATCATTTTCTGTATATATTGTATATATTTATTGTAATTTGTAATCGTGACTTCGTCACTAAGGGCACACTCTGTAGCCAATCAGCAAGAGGCACAACAACTTCTGTCCCACCTCACAGCCTCTGTTTGGCCGGCACCGTTGGAGTAAAAAGATCGCTACGCAATGCTCCCGGTATGAGTCTTATTCCGTGTGTACAATAAAATATATTTATATATTGAATGCTGTTTCATTCAATTATGGAGTCAGATCAACTAATATACCACCTTTAATAGCAACCACCCCTCACTTCAAGGGTCAATAATATCTTTGTTTACTTTTAGAAATTTCATTATATATCCTTAATTCACATACATAAAATATATATATATATATAACTGACCTTAGCAACATCTTCTTGACTTTCCAAACTAAAATGAGCCGTACCAACAAGAAATACTTTGGAACCATAGTTGGTATCAAGAACAGTTACAGTTTCTGGTAGACTCAGTGCAGGATTACTAGGACGAAGCTTCCATTTTATAGCTGAAGGATATGTCTCATCAGGTTCTTCTTCAGTATCTGATTCTTCTCCACTTTCACTGTATTCTTCTGGGGAAGCACAAACAATGGTCAGAAGAAAAAATATTAAAAATCAGATTAGAAAAAGACTTCTTGAAAATATTCATAAAACAGAATGTACGACAAGTAAGAAAATAACCTATAGAATACTAATCACAGAAGGTTATTAACACATTTAATACTTCCAGAAGAATATTTTCATAAAATTCAATAGTTTTCAGAAATATTTAAGCTTAGACAATTTTATGAATTTTAAATAATTATAACTTTTTATTTAACTCATGCTCTTCATTATAACAACTTACATAAAATAAAAGTGGCCAAAAATAAACCTGCTTTTGAATATTTACTTTAAAAAATATCACATAACAATAAATATTTCAATATTTCATATATACAGTTTTACAACAAATTATTAAACTTTTTTACTTGCAATAAACATTTATTCATTACACCTGATTTTCAGTTTTGTCACTTCACATAAATCAGAAAACTGGTAAATTAACTGCAGCTCACAATATAAAAACTTACAAGTACGAAATGGATTATGACAGCATTTCTTGTTTTAACTGAACAATTAACAGCAAATAATACTAAAATATAATTTGTCTACTCTCAAAAGAATCATACAGTTGAATGAAAAGTCCCTTAGAAATGCCTAACATATACTGAGGAGCCAAAATATTATGACCATCCCCACATTTTAGAATAAACTCATTTGGACGATGTTGAGGGCACATGATTAAGTGGGAATGGTATTTAACTGCCCACTTAATCATGTGCCCTCAACATGTGCCTTCAATGGTGAAGGTAAGGAGTTATTACTGCCAACAAATGCAATTCAGACCGGTTTATTTAAAACATAGGCTTGATAAGAATGGACTGTTATGTTTGCATTAATTTATATTTGGGAAAAGATATATGAAAATAGTCACTGCATATATCTGTTCACTGAATGGAGATTAAAAAACAGTGAAACAAATGCTTCTAATTTATTATCCTTCAAGAAATTATAATTTAGTCTTGAATTTTACCTTAATAGGTATATATGTTCAGTGCTAATCATTCAAATTAACCAAAATAATATACATATTTTAATATTTTAGACTGCACTTTAGAATATGTATGGAAAGGGGACAACTGTTATATCTTACCAGAAGAACATGAACCATTAACCTCTTCAGTACTTAACTTATTACCATTCACTGTCTCTGTTGATTCTGAAGATTTCTCTGCACCATTTGATTTACTGTCTCCATCTACACTCCTATTCCTGGAAGGTGAATCAATATTCAATTGGCTATCTTCCGCATCTTCAAAGCTGTCACTAGGAGACAGTTCACACGAATTTGAGTCTGTAGAACACTTACTTTCCAACGAAGTACTTTCTGTGATAATGGCATGAGAAGTTTCAGGTAATGAATTCTCATTTCCATTCACAGTTTTATGAAGAAAAGTAGAAGGATTGTTGTTTGATACATCATTTGAATCTTGTTTGCCTTTTGAAAGCACTTCAGCATATGTTGTGTTACACGTTGAGTTACGAGTTTGTTGACTTAAATCAATAGAATTCTCTACATTGGATTCCATTATCAAAGGAATAAAATCATTGACACTTCGACTAGTGAAATAATTTGATATCCTGTTACCTGGACTTCTACAGCAAAAATTTAAACAAGTAACCTAAAAAATAAAAACAAAACATATAAGTAACTGGCTTTAAATTAAATGGGAAAATTAAAAATAAAGTTTCTTAGTAATTAAAATATTTTTATGAATACTTTAGCTAATACTCAAGGTTACAAATTAATATAAGTAATAAGCTCATATTTTCAAGCCTTTCATTGGCACTAGAACATTAATATGAACATCAATAAATATCAGAAATTTGCCAAAATCACATTGCTGCTTTAGAAAGTTTATACACATACATTCCATGTATTTTCAGGAAGAATTTTCATATTAGATAACTACAGGAGAATTTTTTATATCCTAGAAGAGCAAAGTTATATTTCATGCTTCAGATATCAGAACAGAAAAATGTAGTTCTATTTATCACTTTAATAAATCTACAAAGCAATTATTACTACTGAGTGTAAAAGAACTGTCATATCTTTTTTACTTATACAACAAAAGTTTCCAAAATAATTAACTATAAAAGACAGTTTTTAAACATACGCTGCTGGACATCCAAATTGCAGTACCATGAAGAATAAAATATACTAAGTCATATTTAATTAACCAAAAAAAAATAAGAGGTACATAGAAGAATTTATTAAAACAATGAGGGTCTTTCAACTTGAATAACATGAAAAAATCAGTATATTGCACAGCTGCCATGAGAAAAGACAAATCAGGATACACCCTGGCATTGAAAGAAAAATGCTTTGAGCACATCATGCTGGTAACAAACCTTGGTTTGTCATGCGACAGTTCTCGACACTGAAAAAAATTCAGTACATTTCTGTTATCAGGACTATATTCAGAAATGTAACTATGTATTCATGTATGTAGGTACATGTGATATTTTGATTTGACTAAAAAAGTTGCAGCGGATTGGCATCAGAGAAGCTTAACTGCGTAGTTGGAAATATGGTACTTGAATACAGACATGGCTTCTCGGAACCATAATTTTATTCCATGATGCACATCAAATTATTTTTTCATAGACAAGATTTAGATCATGACTGAATACAATAATTTTTATGTACACAGGTTTTACATAAAGAATGGAGGACAACTGAGCATAGCACCACAGAGGTTTTGCAGGGCAGAAGAAGTTAAGAAAAAGGTATAGAATGACGTAATTGCTGGCCCAGCAGGACCTGCAGCAGCGGGGTTGCCAAAAATTTTAGTAGTTTTTATATTTTTTTAAGTTATAATAATTTTACAATTACCAAATATTTTTACACCATGTATCTGAAAATAGATAAAGATAAGACAATACAGACAAAGAAAAAAAAAAAAGTGTCGACGTATTCTTTTTATAATGTAAATGTTCATTTTCCTTGCTTTGCACGTGTCGCTGTCATTTCGTCTGCTACTTATTTAAAGCTTTAACATGTTATATGTCTTAAAATTAGAAATTAAAGTTAATGACCTAAACTGCAATAGTATACTACAGTAAAAGTGAAAAAATTGACAGTTTCACTCATGCGTGTGTCGGATTTGAGCAATAATTATGGGGTCCCACAAAATTTTCGTAAATACTATTATGGGGTCCTGGGGGTCACGAAAAAAACTCAGTGATAAAAAGGGGTCGCGACTGAAAAAAGTTTTAAGAAACCCTGCAATTAACAATCTATTTTAATTAGTCACTTTCTTTTTGCATTTGTTTAAATAATATGGTTAAGTTTATCGCCATTATCCAATTTTACTCAATGGGTTTAAATGATTGAAATAAAACATGACAACAAGCTTTATAAAATAAATCATAGCAATGATGTGCATAATATATAACATGCCAAGCAGGTACATAAATGCCAAGTACAATCTAAATAAAATAAAATACATCAATGGCCATGTGTGAAACAAGTAGCTAGCAGCTTTGAAACAAAAATATTTCAAGGTGCCAGACATGGTTTTCCAGCCAAGTGGTTCAAACAGCTAATTGCTCTTTCTTTTTATAAATCTTTAAAGTGCATTTACTGGTATCAAGATTTACATATGCATGGGCAGTAGTGTAGTTTAATGACATCATGAAATTATTTAACCATCATCCAGGAAAATAACTTTTAAACCTAATTGATTGACTTCAATGAGTTTTACATTCATTTAATAAATTCTAAGAAATTTATTAAACATTTAACAGTGTTATAAGAAATTTCTTTTAGATAAATGGTAAAAGTAAACGGTGTTTTCAACAACATAACATGTGAATGAAGTTCAACAGATACATATGCATCTCTAAATATCAAATAGATAGTAAAAAGTATAATAATATATATCTGAACTATGCTTCTTCATATGTAAATTAACATAGATCAGGAAACTGCTTCATTCATATATGCTGATATATTTTCAATGTATTTAAATGATAGTTTAAAACTATAGAGAAAATTGTTGGAAAATATAGCTTATTGTAAACCTTTTACTGCATCATCTCTCCTTCTTGAAATGTTTATTTAGTTTAGTTCTTATTTTAATGTAATATAGTAGTTACTTCTACTTCTTTTTCTTGCTGCCACTATTTGCATTGAGAACGGACTGTTTCAACCTAATTGAGATGCAAAAATGAAACGTGATGTTACGTCATCTGAAAAACCGATTCGTGCCGAGAGCTGATTGGTTGCCGTGAGATGACGTCATTCCTACTTCTGCTATAAGTATCTCGCGTCGCTCTGGCTCAACCCTTCTAGTTCCCGCTTTCCTGGCACTTGAGTGAGCGGTTTCCAGCCCCTTCAGAAGGATGCATGCAGTCCGGTGAATAAAGTTGCCTTGGTTCCTGTTTGCGGGATGGCTGTTCCTGAATAAAGTTCCTTGGTGCCTGTCCGCGGGATGATTGTTTCGGAATGAGTTCCTTGGTTCATATCCATAAGATGGTTGTTCCAGAATAAAGTTCCTTGGTTCCAGAGGCTACCATGTGAGTGACTGCCGTGGGCGGCATCCATGTTCTTCAATGAAGGCGGCATTTAAAATACGTGAGCGGCGATTCCTCGTGCAAACGGAGTTAGGCCGGTTTTAAGTGCTTTCAAGAACTTCATTTAAATTTTCAGGTGTTTTCTCAACCATTGATCATGGACGTTTTGAATGTGTAGCCAACTTCATTTTTAGGCCGCATAATTAATGTTTAGGACATTTTTGTTTGTATTGAATGCCAGTGTTTTGGAGACCAGTTAAAAATATTTGATGAATGATGGTTATATTATATTTTTCCTAAGACTCTGATATTGTTGAAATTTATTTTCTGTGTTTTTATTCTTTATTATATTGTTAATAAATTGGTTAAGTTCAAAACCTTTTATTGTCTTCAATGTCTGCACAACATGATATCTCAGGGAGCTTTTATTGCTACTACTGCTAAATGTTTAATTTTTTTCAAACTTTAAACTTTGCTTTAGCATCATTTTGGTTATGGGCCAGCCCCTGAGTTATTTTTAGTGCAGACTTTTGAAGTTTAAAGTTAATTTAGGACTTAAGAGATTGGGGGGCGGTTTTTGTTAAAATTCAAATATGGCTACTGTTAGTGTCATGCATAATATTGCTAAACTTGAGGCATGTAATTACTTTACATGGTCCAAAGATATGAAATTTGTTTTAAATGAAAAAAATGCATGGCTTTTGGTTAAAGGTATTGAAAAATGTCCTGATTTAAATGATGTTAAGGGTATTACAAAAGAAATTATAGCCGACTATCAAAATAGAAGTCGATTGGCATTATCGTTAATTTATATGAATGTAAGCCCTGAATAGAGAAGCTTGATAAGTGAAATTGATGACCCTGTAGTGGCATGGAATACGCTTGCCAAATACTTCCAGCAAGATTATCGGTCAAGATATATGTCCCTGTTTTCAGAGTTCTTAAATTGTAAAATTAAGCCAAATGAAAGTATTAATTTCTTTTCTTCTAGATTAAAACGTGTAACTGAACAGTTAGCTGATATTAATCAGGCTGTAAGAGACATATATATATGTTTTCAGTTTCTTAGGTTCCTTCCAGATAAATTTGATCAAGTAGTTCAGAATGTTTTGAGGTGGCCAGATGAAAAGTTCATTTTTAAAAATGTTGAACTTGAAATACTAGCAGAGGAAACCCATATTTGAATTTTAACTTAAGAGAGAGAGAGAGAGAGGGAAAACTCCAATAAGACTATAGAAGTTCAAAGTACTCACTGTGAACCCAAATTTAAGCAGATTAAAGGGCTCAAGTGTTATAAATGTGGCCGTCCAGGTCATATTCAAAAATACTGTAGAATGAAAGGTAATTTTTCCAGATCACCCTCACCTGCTTCTTTTGTTTCCTCAGCTGTATCTAGTAGTAATAAAACATCTCCTAAGTGTAAGAATAAATCCAAGTTGAGTAAAGGTAAAAATAATTCCCATGCTCAGTCTCATTTTATAGCTCAAGCTAATGTTAACAATTTGGAGGAAAATGATGATAGTTGGATATTTGATACTGCTGCTTCTCATCACTTTTGTAAAAATCGTGAATTGTTTGATACTTTTTCTCCTGTGAAAAATGAGAATATGCTAGTAGCTATTGATGAGGTAACTTTTCCAATTCATGGGAAGGGTACTGTTAAAATGAAATTTGGGGATACGGTTATTTTGCTTAAAGATGTGTTATACTCACCTGAACTGAGACGAAATTTAATATCTGGACCTAGGGTGGATATCAATGGAGCAAGATTTTATTGTAAAAATGGGCAAATTAAAGTTACTGATGATGAAAATGAAACTTTGTACAAAGCTAAGTTGATAGGAAGTAACATGTATTCCCGAAAATAGTCAAAAAGGGGGGCAAATCTGTAAAATTTGAGGCATCCACAGTTCAGCATAATAATAGTGAATTATGGCATGGTCGGTTTGGTCATATAAATTATGGTGCTATTGTCAGGACTAGTAAGAGACATTCAGTTCGAGGTCTTCCTGTGTTAAAGCACTCACCTAATTTGCTTTGTGAACATTGCCAAATCAATAAGCAAAGACGAATCTCCTATAGACCCTTAGAAGGTATTCAAGTA